GACGAGGAGAAGGACCATAATGTCGAGAACTGCAACAACAACAGCAACAACGACAATGATACCAACAACTATGGCAACAACGGCAAAAACAATAACTACAAAAACATCAACAGCAGCAACGACACTGACAATATCAACAACGATCATAACACTACCAACAACCACAACGATAATGACAGTAACAAAGGCGATGAAAACAACAGCCACAATAATAACAACAACACCAACAACCATGATGACGACGAGAACAGCAACAACCACAACAATAACACGAACACCGACGACAATAGCGGCAATGACAGTACCAACAACCACAACGATAATGACAATAACAAAGGCGATGCCAACAATAACAACATCAATAACGACAACGATAACAACAACAGCCACAATAATAACAATAACACCGACAACAATAATGACGACGACAATAGCAACAATGACAGCATCAACAACCACAACGATAATGGCAATAACAAAGGCGACGAGGAGAACGACCACAATGTCGAGAACTGCAACAACAACAGCAACAACGACAACAACAACGACAATGACAATAACGGCAAAAAGAACATCAACAATAATAGCGATGACAACACCAACAATCACGATAGCAACACTACCACTACCAAGAACTATAATGATAATAAAGGCGATGACAACATCAACAACAATAATTGCAATGGCAGGATCAACAACCACAACGATAATGATAACAACAAAGGCGACGGCGACAACGACCATAATGATGACAACTATAACTGTAGCAATAACATCAACATCAACAATACCAATACCAACAATCACAATAACAACAACCACAACAACAACAACCACAACAACAACAATGACGACAATAACAGTACCAACAACCACAGTAACGATAACGACAATACCAACGACCACAATAACAAGAACATCAACAACAATAATGACAGGATCAACAACCACAACGATAATGATAACGACAACAATGATCACAAGGACAGCAGCAATCGTTAAAGAAACAGCTATAGTATCGGCCATGCCAGCTTTAATAATCAGCACAAGAATACCAGTGATTACCACAGAAATGAATAGAAAGTCGATTTTCGTAAAGATCTCGTCCTTCTTTTCTCTTTTTCATTTTTCCAATTTTTTGTACGCGATTTTTGCAACTATTATAATTATTATTATTGTTGCCATTTACTGGTTTTATAAAGCCGTTTATTCGAAAAATAATGTTTAATTAACCATCTATTCTTCAAAATTGTCGCAATAAATGATTTCAGTAGCAAAAGTGGAAATTATTGATATTATTGATATTATTTACTCATAGATTGCCCGATGCTCTAGTTCCTTAATATTTCAGTTAATTTTAAGATTCTCCTCAGAAATTAATATTAAATCCTGATCAAATTTCATTATTTTTATTACCTCATTTTTCGCGTTGCCCAGCGACATTGTGAGCCGGAAATTATTCCAATATGTAGCCTTCAATAGCCTTTATATTCCAATAGCTTTTATATATCAGCAATCACGTCAAATTTTCCCAATAATTTTCGTTAAATATATTCCCTTAACAATATTTCCTTATATTAATATTTCTTCTCAATATATTCCCTTAATATTTGCTGAAATGATGAATTTCTTCGATGAAAAACTTAAGAAATGAAGAAGATTAAGTTTACTTCTAAACTCAAAGCACCGTTTGCTCAAATTCTATTCGATAATTCGAATTTTCAATATCTTCGATGAAACATATTGGCTAATTTCGATTCCGCTATTCGAATGGTTTTGAAATACCTGATATTGAAAAAAATGTGAACCCTCTTTTTCCGATTTTTTCAATAACTTTTGATATATATTCTACAGTTCTTCTCGTTTTCAAGGATTGCTGTATAGCTTTTATTGACCAATGAAGCATCTGATTTTTTCGTCAAATTCAACAATTCAACAATGAGTCATAGCTTTCCAAAGTCTCTTGCATTTTCCAGTGCATTCCTCTAAACCAATCAGGTTTATTTCAAAGATGGATAGTACCTTAGTCATCCTTTATATTTCTGTGGTTGCGGCTGTGGTTGCATATTCCATTTCAATGTTTCTTCGATTACGCAATTTTAATCGTGTAAAATAAAAATTTATTCGTCTGAATATCTTTATAGTGATATGTACAACGATCTTTTGATTCCGTTTTTCTATTCTGTCCTTCCTTTCATTTTTATTATAAACATCAATATTGTGTTACCACTGTGGTTCTTCCTTTGTTAACCAATTTGTCATTCCACCATAATTCAAATCTTGTGAGTAATCAAATCTTGAAGTGGAGAGAATCCTCTGGTTGCTATGTGTGCTGGATTAAATTCACTTGGTATATAGAAATGAGTACTTTTGCCTGTCGTACCTTGAACTCGATTTTGGATGAATTTTGGTAATAGTTTGGTAATAGGTGAGAATGATTTTGTATCCAGTGTAATGCACATTTGGAGTCTGACCACAACAATATTCTCCAGTTCCATCTGTTTAATAACAAATTGCGCAGCACATATTCCCATGAGCACGGCTAATAATTCTAATCATACTTTTGATGGGAGCAATTCGCGACTTAGCGAAAACCAAGGGAAAACCTTTCTTATTCTGAATAATGTATATTGAGACAGCATATGCAACTGAAGAAGCGTTTGAAAAAAGAAAACATGAAATCTTGTAAATTGTGATAGGTCATTTGCGACACGTCGTATTTCTTTCACATATCTTGGCTATCCATATATAAAATTTTTCCATATTCTCTGGTCCTTCGCACTTATTGATTGGTCTCAACTTATTTTGTCCAAAGATTTTGAAGAAGTAGTTTGATCGGCATTGCACTTGGTAGTTTTCATTTTTTGTGAAGAGCTTTATCAGTATCCTTGGTTGGTACTATAATGTTGTCGATATAGAGATTTTTTCTGATCTAATTGGCGAACTCATTGCCATAATTTTCCAGGTGGTAATTAAATAGCTGATAACAAAAGTGATAAAGTGATAAACGTATGACACCGATCGGGACTGTTGAAATCGATAGTTCAATATATTCTTCGTTGCCCCCATATTTAACCAAACCAAATATTTAAAACCAAATATTTAACCAAAGGAATAGTTACAGTTTTTTTGTTGGTAGTAACTCCCTTTGTAAAAACGCCTTTTTATGATTGCGAATCGTATTCGAGAAGGAAACGTTCTTGTTTTGATTCTTTCTATGGTCAAGTAACTTATTATCTGTCATTGTTTTTGGTGATATTTTCCTTGAATTTTTCTAAAACTTGTTCCTCATCCCGCAGATCGGGTTTTCTTATATTTCTTTTTTACTTACTCGTAATCAATATATGCTAAATTAAGTTTTTGCTAATTTTTTTGCTAATTTCTTTAATATACAAGTACTTGAGCAGCACTATCGAATAAATTTACCATTTTATTTGTATTTTTTCTGAATTTGTTCTTCTTTTGCCGACTAGCTGTCTCTATCGCTATATTTAGTGTAGCATAATGCGGTATTATGACGACTTTTTCTTTCTTTTTTCTATTTTCTTTTTTGCAATCGATTGCCGTATGTCCTGGCTGAAGACAATTCAAGTAAGCGTTATTTTCCTTTAGTCTTTCCTTGTTCATTCCTTGTTTTAGACTAAAGTAAGTTTGGTAATCATTATCCTAATGATTCCTATTGCAAAAAATACAAGGTCTTCGATTTTACTAATCTTCTTCATATTACTTTTTGTTTTGTAATTTTGTTTTGTAGTTGTGTATTTGCAGAGTCGTTATAGTTTAAGCTGAAGTTTTTTCTGTAAAATATCGTGGATTAATTTTAATTAATTTTTAATTATTTTTTTGCTGCTTGTCGAGAGATTGGCTTCTTGTAACTCCTTCATTTCTTTGAATCAGTTGAATCAGTTTTGCTAAGAAATGTCTTAGTTTAGCCAATGACTGTATTTCTTATTGTTCCTCTCATTGTTGATATACTCTACTCAGAATCCAGACTGGAAGCTTTTCAATGATAATTTCAACACTGCATTGTCCAAGGCTTCACACTTCCTGCATGAATTTTTTAAATTGTGTCGTGAATGATATTATTTAATCTATTTTTCAGGATATCTAGGAATGGCGCTCAAGTTATATCGTTCGTACTTTCATTAATTAATAGTACGAATAAAGAAATCTTAGTTTAGTTCTTAGTTTAGCCCATTAGTTCTTGTTGAATTTGATTTTGTCCTAAAGTTATAATATTTTAATCCAGTTTAACATAACCATACAAAATCCTTAAATTTTGTTTAATATGACGAACTGATAGAGAATCCATGTTATGTTGTAGAATCTTTTGTAATTAAAATTGCAATTAGGAGAGAGGCGCCGTATAAAGTATTTTTAGAGTTCTTGTATTATTTGTATTTTGATTTACGATATCTTGGGGAGTAAAATGTAGCATTGTAGTGGCCGAACGAACGCTTTATACATTTTGATAAGGAAATCTTCAGTTTTGCTCTTAAATGAGCGAAAAATAAAATTTAATATCTTTGAGGCTTCTGAAGTGAAAGTCGAAATCCACGATTATTCCAAGAAATATGTGACTGAATATATTACCATTAATAAAAAGATAAATATAAAAAGATTAGGAAAATCGAAACCTTTAGAATTGATAAGTACGGTTTATTTTTGAAAGAAGAGGTAATTTGCCTATCATATAGCCAGTTGATTATTCTTTTGAGGTCCTCTTGCAGTGGAGATATGCTATCTAATCTATCATGAGAATAATAAATATTACAATCGACAGCATAAAGATAAATAATAGAATTTAATACCACATTGGTGATATCATTTATA